ATTGTATCCATTATCGGGGTGGATATCAGCATTCTTGCAATGTCAAACCTCCTTTTTTTGCTTGTATTATCATCCAAGCATATGAATTTACCCCATGAGCGCCCCATTTTTTCAAAAAAATCTGATCCCCAAACGTTCAATGGAGCTCCTTGGCAACGAATCCACACAAACCTCTCCTGAGCTATCTTATTTGGAGACCACGGCTGGACCTCTTCGAACCATTGTCCAAGCCATTCCGAAGCCATCTCGACCAGGTCCTTCAACTCCTCTTTGTCTTCACAGTCCCGCAGTACCAGCTTACCCCCCATGGCTCGAATTCGACAATGAAAGTAGCCCTCCATGTAGAATTTCTCCTGTAAGTTCCTGACCATCTCAACAGAATGGATAGTTCCCACATAAGTTCCCTCAAGCCATGAGCTATCTTCAGGTGTTACCTTATACTCCATGCCTTGCCAGATCTCCCCTGGTCCTTTTTCTTGCCAAACCATTCTACTATCCGTGCCTCGCGAACCTTTCACCACATCAGCAAAACTTCTTCCGTGTATGATTGGCCGCGGGTTATGAGGCAATCTCAGATCCTCACCTTGGGGATTTCTACGCACCTTCTCCTTTTTTTGCATAGCATCAAAACGTGGAATGTTCACCCACAGTTTACGATCACCAACCCAGATCTGATCAAGTTTCCTTTCCAGCTCCTTTTTGTCTATGACATCCAGAAAACGCACAAAGCCAAATCTGTTACCGTTCCTGTTCCTCCTTCTCGGGCTGTATATAGCATAAACCCTTCCAAATTGTAAAAAAGTCTTCCACATTTCTGCGTAGCTCCATTCTTCTGGGAAATTGGTGAAGAAAAATGGTATAGCTTGGTTATACAAGCCTTTTTCATATGCTCCCCCAGACTGTGACTTCTTGTTCTGCACACGATCTACCGTCGATCTCCTCTTGCCAGCTGGTTATATCCTCCGACGCCTGCTCCTTCCTCGAGATCTCTCTTTCTCACTACCCTGAAAAGATCGTCCATCCCGTGAACGATGACCACTTGCTCGTGCTCTCTCTCTTCCTCTCTCTCTCATCGCACTCTTATACCATGAAAGCGAACCCAGATAATTATGGTTAATTATCAATTCTTAATTAGGTTTCCATAGAGAATAAAAAAAAAATAAAAAAAATCCAGAATGTAATGCTGCTACAAGGAGAGAGAGATTCATGGAAGTGGAAATTCAACTCCAACGGAACATACTCATGAAGCTCGGGATGCACAAGACTAGTTGGCAACCAGAACACGCCTCACAAAAAATCTATGAAAGTGTATGGAATCCGGTAATCCCTCACAAAATTTGTGGATTTGTCTGGCAATTAATTGTTGATAGGCTGCCAACCAAAATCAACTTACTTAAAAGAGGGATCTTAAAAGATATCCAAGAAACAAATTGCTCTCTGTGTGATGAATGCTTTGAAGACAATAGTCACTTGTTTTTGCATTGTAAAGTTTCCTCACAGGTCTGGTCATGTTGTTATGAATGGTGGAATGTTAAAATTGTTAAAGCAAATACTGTGTGGAAGGCTTTTGAATAGCACGATGGGTTGATGACTAATGGAAAAATGAAGGCTGGTTGGGAATCTGTATGGTTTGCAACAGTATGGACCATATGGAATGCTAAAAATGAAAGAGTTTTTACAAACAGCTCAGTGGAAGTGGGAAGAATATTTGATTCCGTTCAAATGAAAACTTATCAATGGCTAAGAAATAGAGAGAAGGAATGGAGATTCTTTTTGTCTGACTGGATTTTAAATACAAGGGTCTTTGTATGTAGTAATTAACCAAATAGAGGGATCTCTTGTTTAAAACCTCTACTTGATTTTTGAATTACTATAGTTGTAAACGAGTTTGAGTACCCTTTATACTCAATTAATATATTTTCCCTTTCAAAAAAAAAAAAAAAACAAATCAAGTATATAGAATTAGATTTGTATTATAGGGAACTGACATAAGAATAAATATAAAACTTAAACCAAAGGCTATAACATTTGTTGACAAAGTTGACAAATAATCATGGAATAGGTATAAAACATGACAAAAAGATGAGTAGTATAAACTAATAACAACTTGAAATTAACAATGATTCTTCTTCACCATCGGTAAGACCTAAATAAAAGACTAAAACCTTTTTCTCCCAGACAAATTAGAAATTAAAAAGTATAATTAATCAGTGACTACAGTTAAGAAAATTAAAAGCCAAATAATCAATAATTTAATGTCAAAAGTCAAAAACAATTAGTAATTACATAACAATCAATAACTGTACATGAGCGTTCCAATGAAGGAAATCAAGCCCACTATTATAAAAGGTGTTAACTCAATAGAGTTATATTTTGAATTGGTAAAAGGAAACGGCATGAGTTTAGGCGATAAACTATGATATAATTGACAATTAACTTTAAACTTACTATTTTTACCTAATAATTATCATACATACTTCAATTTTTATTTTTTTAATTAAAACTTTAAAAAAATTTTAATATTTTACCTCAGCTCCCTTACTTTTCATAAGAAATTCTAAAATATTACAGAGATACCACATCAGTGGTATTCTCATCCAATGAAAACACGACACATCAATAACTCATAATACATGTCATCTAAGTGAAATGAAAAATTGTATTTAACAGAAATCCAAAACTCTCTATTAACATTACCATAGATCTGGGGTAGATTTCCTCTTCAACAGATCGACTTCATTCTCCATCTCAAGCATCAAGGCATCTAGAGAGTCAAACAACAATGGAACAACCAATTCATGCTAAGTTGGCCATGGTGGTTGAAGATTTGAGGGATTCTCCCTTATTTAAAATTTTGTACTCTGATTTGGTTTCACAAAGTGGTTAGATTTTTATGCTATATGGTTTTTTTTTTTTTTTTATTTGAGAGATTCTCCCTTATCAAAATGTTTGTGCTCAATATAGCCGTGAATAATTCTCAATATTATTGACAAAGTAGGGTTATAGTATTTATAGTGCGTGTATCAAGTAAAAGACATATTTATTCTTGAATATAATATAATACACCATCAGCCCCTCGCAATTTGTGTGGGATAGTGAAGGAGGTGTAAATTGGACCGTTGAAAGTAGAAAGCAATTATAGAGAGTGCTTTAGTTAGAGCATCAGCTCGTTGGAAGGACAAAGGAACATGTTGCAGAAGAATGGCACAAACAAAGTGAATATAAATTTTTATGTGTTTGGTTCGTTGATGTTATATGGGATTAAGAGACATATAAATAGCACTAAGATTATCACAATATAACACAGGTGCAGAAGAAAGCAAAATTCATAACTCAACCAACAACTGTTGAACCCAAATTACCTCAACAACAGCATTAGCCATCACATGATACTCTGCCTTGGCACTAGAACGGGCTACTCTATGTTGCTTCTTAAAAGACAAGGAAATAAGAGAACAACTAAGAAATAAACAATATCCAGAGGTAGACTAACAGCTCTCTAAACATGCAGCCCAATCTGCATCATTGTAAATATGTAGAGATGGAGAGGAAGTTTGATAAAGCTAAAGCCCATAATGTAAAGTACCCTTCAAGTATTCTGAGATTTGTTTTACAACGTGAAAATGATTCTCTGTAGGATAATGCATATATTGACAAACTTGATTAATAGAAAAGGCAATTTCAAGATGAATAAAAGTCAAATATTGCAAAGCACCAATAATATTGTGATATTGTGTAAAGTCTAAAAAGAAGGACTATCATTAGCAAAAAGCTTTTGTTTCGGAGTCATAGGAGTGGGCACTGCATTACAATTAGCCATATTAGTGTAGACTATCAAATCAGTGATGTACTTAGTTTGATTGAGAAAAGAACCATTTGAATTAAACTGTGTAGTGATGTTCAAAAAATAATTCAAAATACCCAAGTTTGTCATAAAAAATTCTACCTTCAAGAGAGGGATAATCTTTTGTAAAAGATTATTCAAATACAGTGAACTACTTTGAGCATTATGGTTTTTTGAACTTGAAATCCTTTAGTTGGGCATGCAAAATCATTGTTCTATAGGGATAATAACTAGAATTTATACATAAATGCATGTTTTTATTGAAAAGATTCTTATGACTCTTTTTTTAACTAATGGCAGCTATGCAAATACCAACACCAAGCTTATCATCAAACTTGCTGAGATTTCCAAGTGCAGCAACTTGTTCAATACTTAAAACCATAAAATAATTTAATTTTGTAAAAAAAAATTGATGTTAATTCTAATCTATTATACTAATGTTATACTAATGGAAGCATCTAAACCTTAGAGCTAACTATACACTAATAGTTACAAAAATTTTGCTCAAGAGCTACTAATCAAGGGGAATACCCAATAACCAAATGAATATATCTTCAACAACAAAAGGCACCAAATAATTAATATAGAATTGATTGTTGCTGTTAGATGGAGAACAATTTTTAGTCAGTGTATTTTTATGAAAGGGTACTGGATACAAATCACCTCAAACACAAAAGCAAAGTTAGAAAGTGTAGAAGAAGCGGGAAGAAAAATATAAAAATAATTAATTTTCACATGCAAACTTCACCGTCAAAACATCAATAACGTTAACAAAGACTTTTGGATTTCTGTTAAATACAATTTTCCATTTCACTTAGATGACTTGTAGAATATGAGTTATTGATGTGTCATGTTTTTATTAGAAAAGGGATACCACTGACGTGGTATCCTAGTGATATTTTAAAATTTTGAAGTTAAAAATGTTAAAACATTCAATCACAACTATTAAATATATAGGGTATAGTGTGAACTCTAATTTTATCAAATTTATCATATATTCATCATTAGATGTCTAGATATTTTTAATTAATGTCAAAATATTTTATTTTCTCAGTTTTCTCTATATATATAAAGAAAAGTGTAAATCAATCTCAATTTTCAAAAACATTAGTGTTAATTTCAAAAATACTATCATCTAATGAATATTTTTTAAAAATAATTATTAAATTTAATATTTTATCAATATAAATTATACATGTCACTTGCCACCTGTCTCATTTCCACCACTAACTTCTATTAGGAAGCACTAGTTTTTTGTGACGTTGTCAAATGCAGTTCTTTGCTGATGCTGGATTCCCTAAACAACCGTTATTCTAGGACAGAAGGAGTAAGACTAAAATTTGACCTTTTTTGGTGGCCTTAACAAATTTAATGTTCCATAACTATTGCCTTAACCTTCACCTCACTCTTTAAACGATGAAAGTCATAACAGTTCTTAACATTATATACCTTCTGTTTCTCTTCAAGCTTATTGGTATTTCTCAAACACCTACAGGGATTTGCAGTGTCATCAGAATCTCCTGCAAATTTGACAACCAGAGAAATCAGAGAACGGCTTGCCCAGAAATGTAAATGTTCCGAGTATTCGACCAATGCAAGAAAAGGGATTCAGGAAATATCTCTCATTGTAAGCAATTCGAACCCCCGCATAATTAGACTCATAATTTTCATTCCTAAACAAAACAACTTATTTGATCTTCCTCAGCTACAGGAAGAACAGTTCAGGGAATCTAATATCAGTTATCCTAGCTGGTGGAGGCAGCTATGCATATTGACTTGACGATCTTCCCTGAACATGAGTAGAGATATGGGATACTACTAGTTAAGACTTGTTTTCTACGTTCTAGTGTCTGTCGGTGCTGGAACTCTGTTTTTCGACGTATGGACAAGCAATGCAGCCATAAATTCAAGTGGCAAGTGTGATGCCTGCGTCTACGGCCTCATGATTTGCTGGTCTACTGTGGGCTTGCCATTCTTCATCGAGGAAGTAAAGGTAAGAAGTGTTGTTTCAGAAGACATAACATCTCTTGACTACAGTTTCATCATGAAGCTTTCCTTTTAAAAAAAAAAAAATACAGGTTTTCCTACAGGAAAGGTTTGGAGGGCACTACGGGCAGCTGTGCATGTACTATCCAACTTACTCTCTTCGTTCCCTTTTGTGGTTGCAATTTCTACGAGCTCAGGAACTGTGGTAAACTAGATGGTGAAATTCCATCCAGGATTTTCTTACTACTGCTATTTCATTATGAATCTCTTCTGCTGCATTGCTGCTACAGAAGCATTCACACTGATCATAGCAACCTTGGTACCAAGCCTCTTGATGGGTGCAGGAGCTTCAGCTGGGGCCTTGGTAAGCTCACATGAGACATGACCAAAAGTAACTCGTACTCAAACCAAAAAAACTCAAACTTCCTAGAGGACGGGAATTATGCAGGCTACAAATTTTAAACTAAAATGTTTGTTGACGTAGGTATTCATGATGATGCCATCTGGTCTCTTTTGCCTGTTGGCCTGACCTTTCTAAGGTCTTTTGGTATTACCCTTTGTCCTACGTTAGTTATGCAACATGGGCAATATAGGTAAAAATCTCATCCTCAGTCGTGCTCCTGCCCCCAGCTATCGGTTCACCAACATTGAATGCTATCCCATCCTTAATTATACCTAACAATGCACCAGGACATGTATATCTATTAATGGTGTATGATGCAGGGACAATACAAGAATGACATGATTGGGCTTGAATTTGAAATACCCTCACCCCCCCCCCCTCCGCGGGCAGTTCCCGGACAGCCAAACTGAAGGGCGAGATGCTCCTACAGTTTGCATTTGGGATCAACCCCAACAGGTCAAAGTGGAGGGACTTGACAGCAGTTGTGTGCCCATTGATCTCTTTTAAACTACTCTTTTACATGATACTCAGGTACAAGGATAGAGCATCATCAATGTTTCACAGGCTTAGTGCCAAAACAGGCATCCTATACTCCCTTAGGAATCCATGAAGAAAGGAGTAAATTATCTTACTAAAGAAGACAAACTTCACCAGGATTATCATCAAATTTGATCTACTACAACATATTTGTTTATGAAAGCAACAACAAAGATGAATAAATCTATCAAAATATTCATTCTAGACAGTAAGTCGTATATAAGAATGTAATGCATCCTGCAATGTTCATACAGTCAAATTCTTGTGAGCATATTTCATAATGCATAACAGTAAGTATGATACATTCATAACCTTAGTTGAAAAGAATCATTATTAATGAAAAGAAAAAGGAAACATTTAACAAGAAGGAATGCTAAGACCAGCAGATTCACGTAGAGCCTTTCATCAAAATGAGAAGAATGGTGCCTGGTCAGGCAAATGTAGATGAAACATCATTTCATATATACCGAAAAGGTCATGGTTCCTTATTCTCAGTCAGTCGTTGTTAATGCAATTGCTAAAGCTCCGATCCAATCAAATTCGGTTTAATCAATGTATACATAAAACAGCTTGAGGAAGGAACGTCATGAGAGAGAGAGGAAGAGAGAGAGTGAGAGGGGTTCGCGGCGGACGACGGGCATGGGCATCAGAGACGACACTGAGTTGGGAGCGGGTAGGATCCTGCAGAAGAGGCCAACAATAGAGGTCAGTGGTGGAGAGACGAGGACAATGGCAATCTGAGAGAAAACAGGGTCGAGGGAATAAAAAAGAAAGACCATATGACGAGGGTCTTTATAATCAAGCCACCCCCTATTTCTTCACCAACTTCCC